AACTGAACATCCTACATTTAGCAAAAAGCTGTCAACAAGTAAATAAAATTTTAATGACAATAAGAATGGCATTCTATTTCTCACAATTTCACAATATTCACTTAAGAGCTCATTTGTCAATTTGTTTTTCCCTTAACCAAACTTGAAACATCTCAAAGCCATATATAACTTTTTAAGAAATGTTAACTACTTTTACTTACTGAATAAATACAAATAGAAAAATGTCTTTAACAGGCCCCATGCTGGTATACTCTAGCTAATGCTAAGAAAGAACAAACTTCAGAGTAAGCTCTGCTAATTTCCTCTGACATTAACTTCATAATTCAGAGTCAAAAGCATCCAGGATTTCAACTGTCAGCTAACTGAGTCAGCCAGGTCATGGGCCAGACCCGTTAGGCCTGTCCTGGCCTCTTGTGTTTCATATAGGTGTGGGCCACTTTGTTGAAGAATCTAGTAAATTTCATATAAACCTCCTACCTGGCTATTTTTCCAGTTGCTCCACTGTGTTAGGTAAATTCTTGGAATGAACACCCCCAACCTTGTTCCTTTCCAGTCATCTTTCTGATGGTATTTCTGAGGGGGTGGGAGGGTGAAGGGTGGGGTCTTCAGAATAGGAATTCATACCAATCACTTTTAGGGAACTTCCTAGGCCGCCTGCGGTACAAGGGATGTAGTAAACAAAAATTCTGCTCTGGGCCTCCTGCAGTAAGGAAAGCCTTCAGAGTCAAATGAAGAAACTGACAGCATTTATTTTGTGTACTAACATCATCTTATCGGTATTTAATTACAGCAAGAATTAGAACTATTTTTATTAGAGAGTTGTTTACTTTTCAAAGGTAAAGTTCTTGATGGGTTTACAACAAATTAAATGTCTTTCAGAGTTGTTCTCTCTCATTATGTTTTTAACTGTGTCATATTATGTGAATAAGGTAATACACTTTTTAAAAATCTTTTAAGTCACAGTCCAGGTGCTTCAAAGTTGCTTCAGGCGTGGCGCAAATGAGAGCAACACCACCAGTTCTCCCTCAAGCCCAGGTAACTTCCTGCAGGGACACCTCTTGCCCAGCCAAAGATCACTCTCCTCTACCAACTTCCTCAGAAGACAGTTGAAAAGGAGGGCTGATTACAGTTCAGCAAATCCAAAAATGTGACAGGGCCAAGAGCTCTTCAATAAAATCAACACCTAAACACTAACCAAAAAGTTAGTTCTTCAACATACAGCAAAACCAAGGCTATTGGCTGGTTTTGAAAACTAGAATAGGAAAAATGACAGACAATTCAGAGCGCCATACCATTAATTTTTATTGAACTATCCCCCTAACCATTTCTTTTGGGGGGCGCTATCTAAGCAGATATCTCTAAATGTAGAACTTTTAGGGAAAGTAGTTTCTCTCTGAATTCTAAATCATTATCAGGTTATAAGTATGCCCAAACGCTAATGACAATAAATGTTTAGTAAATCAGAAATCAAAATGAATTTACCTCTTTGCTATAAAAGTTACATAATGCAGATATTAAATTGCTTGTCTAATTATGCCATTAAAGTTCTTTTTTTGTTCCATGATCTACACATGCACAATTCTCTCAGGTGTCCAAGGCATACACAGGATCCGGTTCCTAAAATGCCCAGCGTGACTGGAACATCCAGGTAAACGAAAGTGGGGCAAAATGAGAGGTCACAGGGCTCCTCTTCAAATAGCTTCGACAAAACAAATGGCCATAAGTAAAAAGTATCTGTGCTTTGCTATAATAAGATTCAAATACAGGATTCCAAGAATTCCACCTGTTTCCAATTAGATACCAGAATTGCTTGAGTGTTTAAACTACATTCACTTGCTACTTATACAAAACAATTCTTCCGGGTTTTTTTGAACATTTCAAGTATGTTAAAATAAGATTAAGAGTCAAGTTTAAACAATCAGAGGCAGGGGAATTTCTGTTAAAACCAAAACTATCCCTGCAGCCACAATGCAGAGCTTCAGACAAAACAACAGGACAAGATACACGAATTTCTATCTTTGACAATTACCTATAAAAATCAGATCTTTCATAGAGAAAGCAATTATATTTTTAAAGTTATGTTATTTTAAACAGGTTTTAAAATAATCTCTAAAATTATGTTTTATTCTGTATGTTAGAATAACTTCTATAGTAACTTATGTAAGAATAATTTCTACAGTAATTTTTAGGTAGCATTTGTGTTACAGTCCATCAGATACACCTGTCTTTAAAACATATGAAATTTACATGAGGCCAAATGTGTGAACTATATAATGGAAGCAAAAGTAGGATTTTGGCCTAGCTATGTAGGATTTTTCACACGATGAATTTTCTCTTTTTTTAAAAAAAAAGACAAGTTTTTTCCTCTAACAAATTTGTCCTTCCTTCATTTCACTGCGGATGTTCCTTGGGCTTTAAGAATGAGCTGAAACGAACATGGATTGCTCTACTTTGAGCCTGTTTTCTCTCCTAAATCAAAATGTGAGCATAGCCTCAGAAGCAGTTTTGACTGTTGACTGCTACAGGTAGGAATGGGGTAGGGGTCGGGGGGAAGTGGTCATGGAGCACAAACTATTGTTTCTGCACAGCTCCCACATAAACTCTGATGGGTTTGTTTTAGTGTATACAACAGAGGAGAGGATTTTTTTTCAACAGCCATTAAAGGTCTTGGGCTCAATCAGCTCACCAGACAGCATTTTTAAGTTTAGTTTAGTGGATGAGGAAAAAATAATTCCTGAGGGGACTGGCAATCTGTCCCCTTTCCTTTTCCAACTTTCTCATGTAGCTAACTACTGGCAGGAGATAGGTAAAATAGGAGAAGCAGGTGAAAGAGGTCTCTATGGACTCAAAAGTATCAGGAGTTGTTGTATAACTTTATCCCTTCATTGACTTGCACCAAAAAAAAAAAAAACTTTAATCAAATAATGACCCTCCCCACACCTAATCTCAAAGATACCGATGTTAAAAAAAAAAAAAAAAAAAAACGAAACAAAGACAGCAGAGCATAGAAACATCCTTGATTTGTTTACTCATTATTCCAAAAAGGGTACTAGATGGGATACATATTTCAATCAAAACAATATACTTTTTTATGGAAATAGTCCTGGATGACGGTTAACATACACGCACTTTCTTAACAGGAGAAAAGTAAACAGAAAATAGACTTTCAGCAAAACTGAAATTGCTTTCTTATTTTGAAAAAGAGGAAAACGTTTAAAGTTTATTTTTGCAGAGGTTCCTTAAAGGAGAACACTAGTCACCATGTAGGAATAATGACACAAAGGAAAGCCGGTCACTGGCAGGCCCCCATCCTGAAAAGCTATACAGAGTTACATGAGCTTGTTTTAGAAAGTGTCCTCTTTTCAAGCGTGTATTTAAAAGGCAAATTTATACAATGGTGTTTTTCTTATTAAAAAAAAAAAAAATCTGGTTTTTACAAGTGTGGGATAGGATAAAAACTTGTCCAACTAGTCTTAGCAATGCCAGAGCACTGAAACTTCCATACCACAAGCCTTTGAGACTAAAAAGGAAACGAAATAGAGCTCAATCTTGAGAAATTCTCTTCCTGGGCACTCACTCCAGAGTCCCAAGGCAGTTTAGAGACAGAACAAGTGGAGGGACAGAGCACAGCCCTCTCACTGGTTGTGGGAGAGCCGCACAACTGCCTTATCTTACAGAGACCTCCTGAAGTCTCTAGGCTGGATCTGGGTCTAGCTGAGACCAGCCTCTTCACCCTCAGGTATCAATGCCACAACCGGCACTGGGCTCTGCAGGCAACCGGATCTCAACAGAAGGGGTTCTGGAAAGATGAGAAGAGTCTGAAACTAATGAATTATCTCTTCTCAAACTGCTGTCTCATTGGGTCATTTACTGTCTGTGGGAATAGAGATGACGCTAAACTAGGTATCAACTTATTAGGCCTCCTCGGGGCCCAGAGAAAAAAACAGTTTAGCCTTATACTTGAACTTTGGCATTTCATAGTCAACTGAAGTTTTTCAAACATGCAATGAAGTGGCAATAAGAAATCATCTAAGGCCAAATCATATCTATCATCAAAAGCCAATGGTGGGTGCTCAGGAATGAGAATGATGTTTTAAATTCAATATCGGCATCTAATCATTCATTCACATAAACTGACAGGATTTCAACCGAATCCTACAGTTACACAGTTAAATATCCTTATGATACCCTGAAGAAGGAGCTAATCTCTTTGGGGGAAGGGGGCACTGTCAAAGAGTTCATAAGATCTAACAACTCTAGAACCCAAATGCATTTCCCAGGCAGTTTTTCCGGGATGCTTAAAAAAGAAACCTCATTTATGTTAAGCCAAGATGTCCCATTTAGGAAGACAAGAAAAAAAGAAAATTAAGGTTTGTCTCTTAAAACTCCACAACGGGTTTTACAGTAAGCACAAGAATTAAATTATGGTAAAAGGGAGCTATTTTTACTAAAACAGGGTAGACCAATTTATCAAAAATGCCATTCGGCTGTGTTCATTACATTCAGGAATCTAATTTACACAATAGACACTTTGGAGTAATCTATTTTAGTCAATAAATACTCAAACTCCTTTAAGTTTTAATCTTATCGTAAATGTTCACATAGTCTTCCTAGTTAAGCTAGAAATTTGAAGTAATGTCATAACGACTATGAATCTGCGTGATCGTTCTTATGTAGGCAAGGACAGAAAACAAGCATATACAATTAAAGTTGTCAGACTCCATTTATATGTTTTAATCCAATCCGCTTCATTTCAAACAAGCCTGCATCTGGATTTCATTTGCTTTCCTCCTAAAAGTATTGTGGATCACTATCACCAATCCTCCCGGTTAGGAAAGTTCGGCCAAGTTTATCTTCCTTCACGCACGCCTTAGACTTAAGAGCAGTAGCCGGCCCCCAGGGACACTGAGGGACCCCCGGAGCGCCAGGCCGCCCTAGGCTCTTCTAAGCCGCAGACAGCCCCCAGCGCTCACGGAGCTTCTGGCCCACTTGCCGCTCACCTTCAACTTGGCTCCGGCTACGCACAACATCCACCTGGCAGAGTCCCGAGGCTGTCCAGGCACCGTGAGCACGGAGCTGGCAGGTTCTGGGCTTACCCCGAGGGCGCGCCTCTCCTCTGGGTGGGAGGTGACAGGCAAGAACGCGCCTCCTGGGCACGGTGACCGCTCGGGCGCCGGATGGGGAGCCCCGGCACGATTCCCCCGCGACGCCCGGGGCTCGGCGGGCAGACTACTGTACGGCATGCCACAGTCCGGCGGGGCCCCCGAGGTTTTGCTTTTGAGAACCTGACTCGAGAAGGCATTTCGGAGCGGACCCGCAGCGCGCTCCATTGCGCCCGCGGACCCTGATGGGAAGGCACGGCCCCCGTGGAAAGGGCCAGAGGAGAGCTGACGGGTCGCTGGGGACCGCGGGAGGCCCTGAGTGCGCAGCAAGGGCCGACTGGGGGCCGCGGGAGCCCCTGAGTGCGGGGCGAGGGCCGCCGGGACAGGCGGCAGGGAGGAGGTGCCCCCGTCCTGGTCAGACAGCGCGCCGGGACGCAGCGCCCGGCCTGCGCTCCGGGAAAGTTGCAGCCCCCTGCCTGCACCCTCACCAGCGTCTGCCGGACGCTCCAGGGCGACCTGACCCCTGGGCTCCACGCGCGAGGCGCCCCCGCCGCCCCTCGCAAGTTTCCCCAAAGCGACCCTACCCGTGTCCCTGGCCGCGGAGGGGCCGGTCCGCGCCACTCGTGCAGGCACACAAAAGAAGGGGTCTGCGGGGTCTGCGGGTGGCCCCCGAGCGCCTGCCGGGACGTAAACAAACCCTGGGGTGCGCGCCGGAGCCCAACGCCGTGTGCGCTAGAGGCGGCGCGGCCCG